TATATCCTCCCACAATCCCTCACACCTGTTTATCCTCCCACAATCCCTCACACCTGTATATCCTCCCACAATCTTTCACACCTGTTTATCCTCCCACAATCCCTCACACCTGTATATCCTCCCACAATCCCTCACACCTGTATATCCTCCCACAATCCCTCACACCTGTTTATCCTCCCACAATCCCTCACACCTGTTTATCCTCCCATAATCTTTCATAACCAGCTTGCTATGCTGAACTCTAGTAATGCACTTTTTGTTAGGCAGAATCTGTACCCAATTCCATATGAGCCATTATATATTTCAAGTGATCTCAAGGATGAATAGATTTTATCTGAATAGGCCTCACAGCTGGGACCTCTCAAAACTACAGAATGTCTCATTCCAAAACTGCGTCGCCATTTCTGTTACACTTTTTTCCAGTGTCACAGATGTACCTTGTGCTGTTCTACACAATTGTTTTTTAATTTCAGAAAAAATATATTTTCTGTTCTGAGCAAACAAGGACACAGTATTGTAGATAAAACATTCAGAATGTCTTAATAGCATGCACTGCAGCACAGAATTCAGTTCCTGATGAAGCATAATTTAACATTTCACTTTCCGTAGCGGAGGGGTATACCTGCTCACAGGTATCCTCGCTATTCCATACTGCTGAGTGACTGATCACTGGCTTGGTTGGTAGACCACAGGCTGTGCCAGAAAACTAAAATATTCCATGACCTACCATAACTTCTATAACTAGAAAAGCTATAATTTCTGGGGAAATTGTATGAAGTGTTCTTGCCTCCACCAGTAGTCTACAACTGGAGTGGGCAGAGTAATTGTTATTATTTATTTATATAGCACATTTAATTGCAACGTTGTTGCCCAAAGTGCTTCACAGTTACATTAAAACATACATTTATAAAAACATTAGCAGGTGTACAAAAGACCCTGTCTATGATATCACTTGCTGCTCCAGCCTGGCACAGGTCAGAGTATTTTGGTGGTTGCCATCTTCAACGGTCATATCACAAGAATCACAAGACCCAGACCTACATTTTGATGCATAGTATGTCTCTGACGTATTAAAAATGAAGGCACAGTGGCAGTTTAGAAATTGCCCTTTAAGTTTGAGCTGGCTAGAGTTGAGTTTCAGTGAATGTCAATGGACGGCGTGAGTTGCAAGCAAATGGTAATATTGTGAAAACTATCAGGACTATGGCTTAGCCGTGGACATTTTTAGTGGCAGCAGGGATCGCTGAACGTTTTGATATCAGCTTTGTGTAGGTGGGCTTGAAAATGAGGGAGTGGTGGCAGTTTCGAAATCATGTCCTGATTTTTCAGCTTTTGCCAGCTCCCAGTCTAGTTTTGAACATTTTGCCATTCATTCCTATGGGACCAATTTCGCCACAAGAACGACGATATTCCGTGAACCATTCGGCGAAACGTTCCACAAAGTAATAGCACACCAATCGGGAACAATCCGCACGTTTTGGTAAATTTTTGTCTATGTAGTGTAAAAACTGTGGGAGGAGTTAGGGTGGCAAATTTGGCTATAATAAGAATAATAATATATATGTGAGATAACAATAAGTGGTCTTGCTATGCAAGAACACTTAATAAGAATAATATATATGTGAGATAACATTAAGTGGTCTTGCTATGCAAGAACACTTAATTATTTAGAGTTTGTATTGCTATCCCAATAGCACCCACATGCTTTTTTATAGAAAATAAACTCTTTGCAGAGAGCACTGTTTCGGTTGTCTTTGCGTGAACATAATGCAAGTGCGTCTTATGATGCGGTCATGGTATGCTTGTTGGGACAGAATATTCTGTCTAGCGAATAGACCTGCAAGTGTAAGACCACAAGTGCTGGAGGATCACAATGAGTGTCAGTGTCTCATATAGACGGGTCTCTACCTGAAACCGGCTGACTGTTAGTAGCCGTACCCTTGTTGTGTCAATGTAAGAAAAATGAAGCCCTGTTGTTTTTCTTTTTCTTTTTCTTTTTTTATATAGATGCATGATTCACGTTACTTGTAGTAACAGTAAACGAGACTCAGACCAGACTGAGAAGAGGGCTGGGAAAATCAATGCAGTCTGTGCAGACGCCCTCCTGATCCCAGCTTCTGCCATCTCAGCTCAGCTCTTTGGTTATCGGAGACGAAGACTGATGGTGATGCTGGAGGTTTCCAGTATCTTGGCCTCACTTCATTAGATGTACATCGATGTTGGCTGCTGGCCACTCATTGATAGATGATGAGGTCACGGGGCTCATGACATCTCACCCCTGTCAGCCATTTCATTCTATTTATTATACACAGTATTTTCACACTTAACAACCACTCATTGGACTTGTTATACATTTTAAGTGCTCCCAGTAAGACCGTTACAGTTGGTAATTATAATGGCTTCCACCAGGTTCATCTTGTTAAGTGCACTATTTAACCGCCTTTAAAGGGGAACTGCCACTTCCTGGTATTTGTAATGCTATGCTTACTTATCCCTTATATTTAACAAATGTGTGCTTGTGAGGTCGTTAAAATAAATTAATGTAGAAACTCACATTTCTATAGATCTATTCTTAAACTGGTGCCTCCATCTTAGCTCCTTAGTTTTTTAACCCCTTAGGGACACATGACATGTGTGACATGTCTGCGTAATTTTTTTTTTAAAAACAATTTAGTAGATATACCTCCAATGAAGACATGCATTACATTTTGTCATTGTGGGTATATCTTAAACTGCTTGCAAAAGCTATAGATCTATTGTCTGCAGCTTTTGCAAGCCCTCCCCTTCTAGCCCCGCCCACACTTTCTGTGGATGTCCAATCACAGACTTCCCAATGCAGTTTAATGAGAAGTCTTTTCAAGGCAGGTGCTCTGGTAAATTGCTGCCTCTTGAGTTTAGTTCCACTGACCTAACCAATTGACAGCTGATTGACAGCTGGCGGGGGGGGGAATTAATGAGGTTCAATTATAAAAGTGTAAATTTCTACTGACATTTGCACTTTTTGAAAAACTAAAAAAAAAATCATGCACTGCTCACAAGTAAAGTATTATAGCAAGCTAAACTGCTTTAGGTGTGTGTGTGTAGTGTCCCTTTAAATATACTGTGTAGAGGAAAAACACTAATGTTTAAAAAATAAATATCTATATTTTTTAAATATATGTATTCCTTCACTTGGTTAGTCTAATGATCCCCTTGTTTGTTTTGTTTTAATGGAAATTAAACGTTATTGAATGTATTTTTTGTCAGAAGCCCCTAGTGGCAAAATGTAAACATTGCTGTTTCTCGGGAATGACTGGTTTCATTTGCAAGGGCACCATCAATGTTCCAATAACCCATGTCATTAAAGGGACACTATAGTCACCAGAGCAGCTACAGCTTAATGTAGTTGTTATAGTGTCTATAGCCTGTCCCTGCAGGTATTTTAATATTAGCACTGCCTTTTCAGAGAATAGAGCATCACATGAAATACTGTCAATACAAGTGATTTCACAATGCTTGATTCGGCAGTGTAATCTCCAAGGAAGTGACAGTTCCCCCTTTTTATATATTGTACAAATGTAACATCTCTCTACCTTGGCACGACATTATAATAAAATACATTCATAATGACCTGGGAATTCTTCCCTGTCCAAAGTAGAATGTGATAACCTTTTAATTGTAGAATAATGATAGATTTCAAAACTTCAACGTGATATAATTTTTGGAGCAGCACAGCAATGATTTGAAAGATCAGTGGTAATCGGCATATCATTGAGGATTAGTAATATAAAAATTGTGCGAATTGGATAACACACAATTTCTGGGTAGTGAGGATAGAACCAGACTACACAATGCAACGCAAAGTGATCTAGGTCTACACTGCAATAATGTACGATCAATAGGTAGTCAGAACTGTTCTATGAAGACATAGCAGTGATTGGGAGTGGAGTTACTGAGCATTCTGTGAGTGATTCCCATTGATTTTAATGGTCAGATCACATCACGAGCACACTGTGCAATGCTTCTCATTATTCTCCGTAGGAACGCGGGGATTATCTGGGAATTTTTTTGTCACGTCCTTATAGCCTATAACACAGAAGCATCAGAGCAAAGGGAATAGCGACGGTGGCACATTTTTATCAGATTTGAAATATTTTTTTTTCATGTTGCAATTAATGCATATTAGTTATACATTATCTATATTTTGTAATCAATATTTTATTATTACAATAGTGTAAGTTCAGAACTACTATTACAGGAACACTATAATGCCAGGAATACAAACATATGTTCCAGACACTATAGTCCTGAAGTGGCTGTTTAGGTGACCGGCCCCGCTCTGATCTCCCTGAAAAGATGATTTTACTCACATTTTCTCCAATGTCGCAGTGGTCTCGCCGCGGCTGGCCCCGCTTCCATGGCGGATATTTCTGCCAATCCAATGCTTTGGCTATTGTACGAATGTGGCAAAAGGCTGTGTTACTCCAATCAGCATCTACTCATAAAGATTAATTGAATCAGTGCTTACTGTGCAGCACCGGACTGGGAAGCATCTCTGGTGGCCGTCTGAATGACTGCCACAAGAGCACTAAAGGTGACTATAGTGTCCCTTTAACATGGTAAAAAACACTTGTTTTGAACAGAGTATAGTTTATGTTTAGCAATTCAAGAGATTTACAGAAAATAAAACGTCTTCCTTGCTGAGCGTGGGGTGGCTGGAAAGTCTGCATGGGTTCAACACTGAACCAAATGTTAAAGAGCTTGTGTTGGTAGTGCCTTTATGTTTACACACGCACTGGCCCACTTTGTCTTGAAGTACGACTCATTAACAGAACTAATCAGATCAGAGGAAGAATTGCAGGGAGGGGTGGATGATTATTTGTGTATTAAATTTTATTCACAACTCCCTGACCTGTGGCCAGTGAATCTGTTTAGAAAATAGCTATACTGCCTCTTTAAAGTATATTAAATGTAAGATTATTTAAATGATATATATGTAAAATACTCTAATAACATCTGTTTTTACACCCCCACCACGCCTTTATAAAATATCCCCTGATTTCTGTCCAAAAAAAAAATCACACTCGCTGTATAAAGCTTGCTGTTGGTTTTCTACCAGCTAATGTACACGAGGATGATCGGACCAGATTTTTGGAAGCAAATCAGGGAACATTTTTAATTAGAGTTGATCTGAGGTGTACAAACAGACGCTAGGAGCATATTTTTATTCATAGATAGATATATAAGTTAAATAAGTCTTATTTTTCAAATTCAACACATTATAAGATTTAAGATCTGGGTTGGCAAACATTTGCAGGTATTATGGGCTAAACCCTATTTTGTTTTGCCATGATGCTCAGTCAATTTTAAAGATAGCCACCCCTTCAGCAGTACGTTGTTAGTTCCCTTTTCTTTCTCGTGATATTCACTATATGTAGCACTGCTACACACCTCCCAACAGTCCATCACATGAAAAACTCTCAACACAAGTGATTCAACAGTGTTATCACCAGTATCCTGCAAAAAAAGTCCTGAAGAGTGACCCTTGTCGTTCTTTGCTGTTTTTCTCTGTGTCCCATTTAGAACTGAACACATAAGATTTAAGGTCCAGATTGCCAATATTTACACATATAGAGAGATAATATTTCAGGTATAGGTATATGGTTGATAGATGTTATGTTGTGGACAGAAAGATGGTATGTCAGCTATTGACTGATGGTATGTCTGCTATTGACTGATGGTATGTCAGCTATTGCCTGATGGTATGTCTGCTATTGCCTGATGGTATGTCAGCTATTGACTGATGGTATGTCAGCTATTGACTGATGGTATATCTGCTATTGACTGATGGGATGTCAGCTATTGACTGATGGGATGTCTGCTCTTGACTGATGGTATGTCAGCTATTGACTGATGGTATGTCAGCTATTGACTGATGGTATGTCAGCTATTGACTGATGGTATGTCTGCTATTGCCTGATGGTATGTCAGCTATTGACTGATGGTGCTGAGTATTGTGAGATGGTATGTCAGCTGTAGATTAATATTATGTCAGGTAAAGGCAGATGCTATGTAATGTATGGTATGTCAGATATAACTAGATGGTACGGCAGCTTTAAATAGATGATATGCCATCTACAGATAGATGGTATGATGTGGATACAGACATTGTATTCCAGCTATTGATTGTATGTCAGGTATAGATTGATGGTACATTGGATATAGGGAAATGGTATGCCAGGTATAGATTGATGGTACATTGGGTATAGGGAGATGGTATGTCGGGTATAGATTGATGGTACATTGGGTATAGGGAGATGGTACGTCAGGTATAGATTTATGGTACATTGGGTATAGGGAAATGGTATGTCAGGTATAGATTGATGGTACATTGGGTATAGGGAGATGGTATGTCAGGTATAGATTGATGGTACATTGGGTATAGGGAGATGGTATGTCAGATATAGATTGATGGTACATTGGGTATAGGGAGATGGTATGTCAGCTATAGATTGATGGTACATTGGGTATAGGGAGATGGTATGTCAGCTATAGATTGATGGTACATTGGGTATAGGGAGATGGTATGTCAAGTATAGATTGATGGTACATTGGGTATAGGGAGATGGTATGTCAGGTATAGATTCATGGTACATTGGGTAAAGGGAGATGGTATGTCAGTTATAGATTGATGGTACATTGGGTATAGGGAGATGGTATGGCGGGTATAGATTGATGGTACATTGGGTATACGGAGATGTATGTCAGGTATAGATTGATGGTACATTGGGTATAGGGAGATGGTATGTCAGGTATAGATTGATGGTACATTGGGTATAGGGAGATGTTATGTCAGGCATAGATTGATGGTATATTGGGTATAGGGAGATGGTATGTCAGGTATAGATTGATGGTACATTGGGTAGCATGAGATGGTATGTCAGGTATAGATTGATGGTACATTGGGTAAAGGGAGATGGTATGTCAGGTATAGATTGGTACATTGGGTATAGGGAGATGGTATGTCAGGTATAGATTGATGGTATATTGGGTATAGGGTGATGTATGTCAAGTATAGATTGATGGTACATTGGATAGCGTTAGATGGTATGTCAGGTATAGATTGATGGTACATTGGGTATAGGGAGATGATATGTCAGCTATAGATTGATGGTACATTGGGTA